TTAACCTTCCAACCTTCCCTCCCTTCCTCCCCTTCACTGTAATGGCAGAAACGAAGCAAGCAAACTAGCAGTGCGAGTGATTGATTGTGAGGATTCTGACACAAAGACTGCCACCTCATCTTTGCTTGTGCAACTGGGATGAAAAGCAAGAGAGCAAAGGGCTCATTCCCCTGGTTTCCTATGACCCAAACACTGAAGTATTAGTTCTGATGGAACACTCAAACTATTAAGAATTCTGTTTCATTAAAACACACCTAATCGGAACATTCTGACGTAATAAAAGTTGTACTGTTTTGCACCAGCACATCAGAAGTGGCAGTGCACTGGTTCCTGCAGCACTCTTAGATGCCCATGGACATCCTCCCCTACTTTTAATGATCTAAATCTCAGAATATTGCCAAACTTTACAAATTTTATGAGAGATTTATAATTGGGGAGGTAGAAGTTGGATGATCTCTCTTTTATTATAGCTAAATGAATTCATACAATGAAATGATTTAACCAGTGCAACTTAGAAAATTGTCCCAACCTTTTTAATCTCCTTGCCCTCTGGTGGCTGTGTTTCTCCCAGGAATTTAAAGAGATCGCGCTGCTCTATTTTACACAGAACGTTCCGTGCATCACTCAGCTCTGGTTCATCAGAATGTAGAATCTGTAAAAATATTTCATCTGCCACAGAAGCAAAGATATAAGTAATTATTCTTGTATATAATTTTTATTAAGGATTTTGATTACAATAGTAAAAAATAATACAAACTAAAATTAAAGAAAGAAAAGAATAGAAAGAAAAAAAGTGCAAGAAAAAAAAAGAAAAAAGAAACATAATAAAGAAAAAGAAAAAAACATATGAAAACTTCTAATTTTCATTACAATAAGTATAGACAAATTTAGTAATTCTTCACCCCCTATAAGGTTACAAATTGTGATGGAATGGACCTATGAAGGCCATGCTCAGGGAGATAAGCGTGTTCTTAGCCCTCAGCAGGAGCATGGGAAGTTTAAGAAGATGAGGCTGGCACCTCCCTAAGGAATTCATGGTGTTGTGGCTGGCGGGTTTTGGAAATTGGGTTTTTTTTGGG